GGAAAAATCAAACCTTAAAAAAAAGAAAAAAAAGAGAAAAAAAAAGAAAAAAAAAAGAAAGAAAAAAAAAAAAAAAAAAAGTAGAAAAAATTACATGAAAGAAGAGGCGAGACTTACCTTCAACCTAGAAGAGGTGGAGCTGCAACCCCGTGCAAATCTAGCAATCTAATATCCTTGGTTAAATGTAGGATTATACATCGGCGCTCCAGGGCCACTGCCTGGCGGACCACCAGCACCACCCTGGAAAGACAGAAACATTAGAAATTTTAGTATCAATATCATTTGACTTTATTCACACTAGCCTACAGTATTCATACTTGTCTCTCCTTGCATTTAACCTCAACACAAAAAATGACTGTCATGGGAAGACAAGGGTATTCTCTCCTGGAGCGCCACAAGATTCTACTCTTAATCACGGTTACTACTGGTGCCATACATTTAACTGTCAGAGAAGCCATACCCTCTTTCATGTCTAAGGACCTGAATAGCCTATGTGCATGTTCATGTACTTACCCATTTATTAACCTGTTTTTATGGTTTAAAATCAACCTCATAAAAGAATAACAATGCTAAAAACTGGGAACATCAAATTGCAACTCTTCTGGTCATTAGCACTTTACTGAGGATGTTATGTTTTAAATGTTTATTGCAAACATTACAAGTAAAGGGCATCACTTACGAATGAAGCATATTTATTCATTTGTTTTTGTAACAACCGTAACTCATCAGAAACAAATGACACAATAAAGAACTATCGTGTATATATAAGTTAGCTCTATTTCCAGAAACCTATAACCATCTACATAGACAGAATACAGAAGGAAGGCAAACAAGAAACCACATGGCAAGTTACTTATGCTCTTCATCTAGCATAAAAGGACATAATAAATCAAGATACAATACCTACAAAAAGTGGACAACTATAACAATAGCAACAGAAACGTAGAGAAATGGCATTATAATCATATCCAAATTGCTTGTCGTGCAATATTATAAGCTGCTCTTTTCATGAGCATGGGTGTTCCACTGGGCATTTGAACTCCCCTCTGTATTTAGTCTACATATAATTACTTCAAGTCATGGAATACAACTAAATTAATCACATCATAGAATGCTGCATATTTTGCTGTATATTGGGTCTCAACCACACTGCTATTTAGGCAGTGTTCCCTGCAGTTCAAAGAACTAATGATGTTACCCCAATGACAAAAGGAGACCCGAGTGCCATACCAAAAACATGTGGATTCAGTGGCTCAAGGTAAAAATAATCAGAGGCAGGGGAATCAAAATTACCCAATCTCTCTAAACTATTGGATTTAATATGAATAAAGTTAAAGTGAGGCTATAAGCCTAATGTTAGAGGCAATTTCTCCTCAATGAAAGTAGCCAGGAATAAACAAGCACATAGCTGTTTAGTCTGCATAACTAAGATCAGCCTTAAGTGCACAGGAAAAGAAGATGTCAACTCATGTGATATACCATGATAGGATCTAATCTGGTATCTCCCATCTAAAGTGGGTTCATGACTTTGATAGTGAGAATTACTAAACATTATAACCATTCTTTTATATTTATATATATATATCTAAATGTATATGTATACATATATATATATATGTATATGAATATATATATGAATA